TTAGCTCTTCCAGGTGGTGAAATGGCATGCTGAGAGGAATAAACCATAGAAAGAACAAAAGGCTGTATGAGTAAGCGAAAAAGTTGTCAGAAAAATTTAATGAGCTAGAGAAAGACAATACATTAAGAAAAAACAATTAAAACTATGCTTACTAAGATCATTAACTCTGCTAACATTAATAGACCAAAGAGGACATGTAGTAAGTCAACTGTAGACTTCATTCTGAAAATATTGACCCAATATACTACTGTACTACAAAAGGAACAAAAGATGCTGACTATCATCAAAGAAAAGCAACACCATGCTATTACTTAGAAGATTCTATGCAATTCTAATTGCCTACTTTAAAAAAATGTTCTGAAAATGAAGAAGGCTTGAGGAGTGTAACAAAACATGAGAACTAAAGGCCCCTTAAATGATTACTCTACCTGAATCCATCCCTTTCATAAGTAAGAAACCAAAGCCGACAGTGGTTAAATGATTTGCAAAAAAACGACCCAGCTGGCATAGCTGGGATTAGACCCTAATCACCATGAAGCAGTTCAGTGTTTTCTTTCCACAGTACTGTCTTATTTACATCTTTTTTTTTAGTTGGGTAAAAACCAAAAATTTTCAGGTCTTACCAATTTGGAAAACAAAGAGGTTTAGAATGGAGGTTCTTTTTTTTTCCAGTCAAATACACATATATCATGAATACATTTATGCATATGTCGGGTACAATGTGTTGATTTTTTTTTTTATACAATTGGTTACATCAAACCAATCAACATAACTTTCACCTCATTAACTTGATTTAGAATGGCGGTTCTTAACCATGGATAGGTTCAAGAAAGCTCACACAAACTCTCAGAAGTGGCACTTTCTGGGGAAAGGGTAGCTTTTGCTAGATCGCAAAGGAATCAAGAAAAGATGCTTACCTAACAATAGTATACTAGGATGAAGAATAGTCAAGCTTTGAAACTCCAGAGCAATAGCTTTAGAAAAAAAAGACAGCACTCCTAGGACTTACAGTTTTCCTTCTGATTGTTGCCAGTGCAACAGAGTTTCCCTTTCAGCTTCTATCTCTAACAGGAGCAACAGAGGGGGAAAAAAAGATCCCCCAAATCTTAAGCAATGTGGAATAATTACCACCTATGAGATGTTATCACATCTGAAATTCTAAGGAGAATAATAAATGGAATGTCTTACCCTAAAGTCAATAATCAAAGAGTTTAAAAAGCTTAGAGAAAATTATGGCTGGCAGCACCATTTAAGACACTAAGTTTGACATCATAGAAGACAACATCAGGATAACCTTAGTGCTTCTATGGAACCCAGAAACTTTGGCTGGATTGACTGTGGACCCCTCAAAATGGCACACATTATGATCTTGTGTAACCTACTTAAGTAAAGCCCAAGGCAGTGATCTCAACTCTTTTATGTCCTGGCCTGTTATAGCACATACCTTTAGAATGCTCTGTGTCTGGATGCGACACAATTCGGACATATTTAAGATCTCCAAACTGCTGGAGGAGTTCCCCAAGGTCTTCTTCTTCTGAGTCAAAAGACAGATTTCTATGGAAGACAACCAAAGGTCCCAAGAAAGGTCACTTACAGGCCAGGTAAGGTGGCTCCTGCTTGTAATCCCAGAACTTTGGGAGGCCAAGGTGAGAGGACTGCCTGAAGCCAGGAGTTTGAAAGCAGCCTAGGCTACATAGGGAGACTTCATTTCTATAAAAAAATAGTAAGTTAAAAAATTAGCCAGGTGTGGTGGCATGCACCTGTAGTCCCAGCTACTTAGAAGCTGAGGCAAGAGGGTCACTTGAGCCCAGGAGTTTGAGGCTGCAGTGAGCTATGATTGCACTACTGCACTCTAGCCTAGGTGACAGAGTGAGATCCTGTCTCAAAAAAAAAAAAAAAAGTCAGTTACAAAAATGAGACCCTATGTTCTGGTACAAGGTGAGTTAGACATCAACTAAGGTGATTCCCTTACTTGCAACCACCTTCCTTTTTCAGAAATAGCACCAATAAATAGGGTTGCCCCCAGTGGCCAAGCCTCTGCTATATGACTCTGCCTCTTTCTCCCAACTGACTGACCTGTTTTCGTCAATCAGGTTCCCTTTCCCAGGAATTTTAAACATGAACAGATAAACATACATAAACCAGAAGTTGTAGGTGCAGACTGACCTCAAAATAGCAGTGACAAATCCTCTGAAGTGCTGGAAATGTTCTATATCTTGATCTGGCTGGTGGTTACATGGATATCTACATATGATAATTTTTACTGAGCTGTACCCTTCGCTTAATGCACTTTATGTCATACTTAAAAGGAAAAAAAAGTAGTGTTCCAGAGAAAAGACCCACAGCCTTTAGAAGTGGAGGCTCCAGAACTGCCTACATTTTCATCCTCTTCTTGCAGTTTGCTTTTTGACAACTTTGATTCTGTGAACCACTCCAATGTTCATCCAACAAACCCCCCTTTTCACATATATTGGCCAAAATTAGTTTGTTACTACAACCAGAAGACTAGCAGGCTAGTGAGAAAAATCAAATATCTCTTTCTCTCATATCCCTCTCTTTTAATTAGGAATTTTCTCCTCTGAGTTGAGGAGAAAGCCAAGATTCCAGTTAAAATTTTACAAATGTTGGAAAATCTTTCAAAATAATAACACAAAAACAAATACAATAAAGTTTACTAGCTAACTGAAAGAAAGTAAACTATTTAATTCTCTCGATGGGATTTAAAAATGTTGGAAGAAGATTCTGTTGTCCTAAATTTCAACATAGTATAAAGATTAGTCATTTCCCCAGCTATGCATTCCTTCCAGGGGTAAGAAAAACAGTCCCTAATAACTATTTAAAATTTTGTACTCAGTAACAGTCCCATATATTATTCTAGTTCATGAAGTAACCCACACAAAAGAGGTTTTATGCAGTTAAGACACATCCTAACTACATTATTTCTTCTAATTTACTTTATCATGTACATAGTTTTCCCTCTTCCATTTCTTTACTTCCCTAAGTTCTTTATTAATTAAAAGATGTATGAAGAATGGTATCATTAGTACTGTGGTCAAAGCTTCTGAATGTGACTTGTCTTCTTTCCTGTTAGAATCCTCCATGAATACAAAGTTATTCATATGGCAGTTCCAAGTAACATAACTAAAAAAATACATGGAAAGACATGCTGCCGAGGGAGAAAGTGGGCTACAGCACAGCATGTATAGGCTAAACTCATCTTTATAAATATTTATGATGTGGGCATGTGTGTAGGTGTTCTCCGAGTAGTGATTAAGGTTAATTTTGTCATTTTTGCTCATGTAGTTCATAAATCTCCCACAATGAACATAAGCTACTTGTAAAACAAAAATGATCTTAAAAGATTATATAAGAGGACAAAATATATACCTCTAAAATCAGACCCAAATGGCCCTAGTACCTTGGTATTTAAGTATGATTGTTAGGCAATGTTTGCTATAAGAAAAAAAAAAGTAAGGAAGGGTGAGAAGGCACACTTGAGGTGTTCTGAAGATACACTGAACTTATAAAAATGCCAATCTATTGCAATCGGGAGGGTTGAAATATTAACAGCAACTTGAAATAAAACCTATCTCCATCCCCACTTTTAGTTTTCTTGGAAACAAATCAGATATTTTACTTTATTGTAGACACTGCTTTAGACCATAAGCTGGGACAGTAATCATTTGGGACAAATGGCCTCAACACTCCCCAGCACTCCTCCTAAAATGAGGGCCAGAAACAAGCAAGATATCTCTAAGAGTTGAACTGATTCGCCACCCAATTACAAAGAATGAAATCTAAATGAGGACAAGCTATCAGAACCCATGCTACCTATCCTCTGTGCTATAGTTCTGATTCTCCCACATTTCTCATTGTTTGGTAAGTTCCTGGGACTAGATGTACTAACAGTTTTGGAGGCATCTAATTTGGGGGCTAGGTAAAAGTGCCAAAAAGAAGGAAGAGAGGAAGAGAGAAAGAGAAGAGGCGGTGAAGGGGGTAAGGAGAGAAGGGAGAAGGGGAGAAGGGGGAAGGAGAGAAAAAAGAGAGGAAGGGAGGAAAGAGAGGGGGAAAGAGGGAAAAAGAGATAAGAGAAGAAGAAAGAAAAAAAGATCTACAAAGGTGACAGAAACAGCAGTTCTTGAAGTAGAAAGGCATACCTGATAAAAACAGTTTTTCCTTCATTCACATCAGATGGTAATTTCTTTTTCTTTTTCCTTGAGACTTCCACATCTAAGGTTAAAAGAAAAACAACAACTGAAAAAGACTAGTATAGTCACATGACAAAGAGCTAATTTCTTCAACATATAAATATCTTGCATAAATTGATAAAATAGAAAAAAATTTTAATAGACAAAGAATATACAACTAAATACATGAAAAGATGTTTGAACTCACTCATAATTAAAGAAAAACATAGCACAAGAAATGTAATACTATTTTTCACTAACAGATTGGCAAAATCAAAAAGAATGATGAAATCCAGTGAGGGGAGGGTGAGGGGAAAAAGACATTCCCATATACTACTGTGACAGTGTAAACTTTCTGGAAATATTGTATAGGATATATAGAACCTTTGAGGAGAATTGTGCATATATTCATGCACAAACTATAAAATACACTACATTTTTTGTGTGTGCCTGTATAATTTGCATATATGCAGATTTTTGCTTATAAAGGTATTAAAATATCTCTAGATACACAAGAAACATACAACATTGGTTCTTCCTGGAGAAGTGCCCTAAGATGCTGAGGATCTGGGTACAAAGGAGACATAGGGCCCTGAAGGATAGAGGTAGGTGCTTATATAGATACAGAAAATGTCTAGAAGGAAACATAAGAAACAACAGTAGTTACTTTGCAGGATTTGTTGGGACTGGTATTTTTTATTAATCCTTTCTCATCACGTATTTGTCCTATAATGTTTTTCAGTGAAAGAATGGCACGAGACAACTGATGTGGGTTGTAGAATATTCTACAAGGTCTTAAAGTCCCTTCATTGTCAAAGCTTCTTCAATTCTAACGTGACTATCATTCTCTCTTCATGGAAAAAGCTTATTTCCTCAGATTTCTTATATTGTCAAACCAACATTCCAGACTTACAGAAATGGAAGCAGAAAAAACATAGCTGAATAAAAATCTCCACCGGGGAGAAAGAAAGAACCAAAGAAATAATTATTGGCCATTTTTTGTTCTATAATGCCTGCTTTCCTCAATAAATGTGTTATTATTAATAATTAAATATGTTTATAAACTTTATCAAGTTTATTCTTGATAAAGGTAGCAATAGGGACTGGTAAGTTTCACAAAATGCTCAAAGAAGTCCTTGTTATGAACTGAATTGTGCACCCCCCAAATTCATATTCTGAAGCCTTAATGCCCATTGTGACTGTATTTGGAGAAAGGGGCTTCAGGGAATTAGGCTACAGGAGGTCATAAGTGTAGGACCCTAATCCAATAGGGCTGGGGTCCATATAAGAAAGAGACAAGATGTCATCTTTACTCCTCTCTCTTTCCCCTCAGGAACACAGAGGAAAGGCCATATGAGGCCACAGCAAGAAGGCAGCAGTCTAACCCAGGAAGAGGGGCTCCTCAGGAGCTGAATAAGCCAGTACCTTGTTCTAGGACTTCTAGCCTATGAACTCTGAGAAAACACTTTTACTGTTCAAGCCACCCTGTGTATGGCATTTTGTTATGGCAGCCTGAACTGATAATATAGTTCCCTGTTCCTGTGTCAGCTTGAAAGAGTTGCTTAAAATCTACTTTGGTGTTAAGATACAACAATATCTTGTTTATCCAGTTATGCATTCAACTTGGACAATCGAGAGAGAGGTTGTAATTCAGCAGTAAGCTAGGTTTTAAATTATCTAAGCTTAACCCTCAAGCACCACTACAAACTCATTTAAACAAACAAATAATTTTCTTTTCAGTATTTAAACATAAATTTGATAGAACATCTTGGTGTCCTATTTAAAAGAGGCCTGAGTAGAACTGATAGACACTTCTCAGTAACTTAAAGTTTAAACGCATTTATGAAGAACTGAGCAAACTGGCTCAACACCTGTGGCTCAAGCGGCTAAGGCACCAGCAGCATACACCTGAGCTGGGAGGTTCGAATCCAACCTGGGCCCGCCAAACAACAATGATGGCTGCAACAAAAAAATAGCTGGGCGTTGTGGCAGGCACCTGTAGTCCCAGGTACTAGGGAGGCTAAGGCAGGAGAATGAGCTGTGATGCCACAGCACTCTACCCAGGGCAACAGCTTGAGGCTCTGTCTCAAAAAAAAAAAGATCTGAGCAAACCTTCATCCTCTTGTGCCTCAGTGCTAGCATCACTCTGAGCCAGTTCCTCTTCATCACCAATACTAACTCTTTCCTCCAAGTCCTCATCAGAATGGTCTTCTTCACTGCTTTCTGCCGGAGGTGCTCTCTTGATTGCTCTGCAATAGCACAGTTCAGAACTAAGAATATGGGCTCACAGAGGGACCTACTCACACACATTAATTCTGCAATGATGGGGAAAGACAGTCCTGAATCTTCCTCTACTGAGCTGCTTACCTCTTTTGCATCTGCACAGTCTTTGTCACCTTTGAGTCTTTATCCTCCTCCTCTTCATTGCTGTCACTGTCATCATCATCGTCATCATCACCATCAACTTCAACATCATCTTCTTCTTCATCATCTTCTTCTTCCTTTTCCATATCCTCTTTCTCCCCACTATTCTTTTTAACTGATAACTGAGGTTTAGGTTCATGGCTCTTTTCCTCACCTATGGAGGGAGATAAAGAAAGTTAGGTATCCATTTAGTATCACAAACTAGGTTATTTTAACAGGATTAACTAATACTCTAAGTTCTTAGTTTCTTTGATTTTCTAGAATTTCATACATTTTTCTTACTATACATAATATAGTTAAGTATGAGAAAGTATGAAGGGGAGAAAAAAAACAAAACAAACAACCCTTACTACTCAGATTTCTTTGGAGTCTTTGTCCCATTCACCTGAAGCCTGAAGGTTATCTGGCCCACAATGAAAACTGCCACTGAGTCTCCACAAATAGTCCACCATCCATACACTGGATACCACAGCCAGCATGATGCTCACTCTGGGGCAAAGCCAAATCATGAACTTTGACCTCAGTTAAAGACTCTGGAGGCTTAAGAGCCAATTATTTTCTAAACACATGTAAAACTCAAGTGTTAAGTTTCTCTATTATTAATATTCCATTACATCCTATTATGAAAAGCTGGGAAAAGATAGCAAGTAGAGGAGACAATGAATTCAGGCTCTACTCCTCATTCACAGCCACCCCCAGGAGTGGGCTTACACTCAAAAGGTTCTACATTTTGGAATCAGATTACCAGATGGTACGGTATGAATTGACAAACAGCCCAGGGCTCATTTCTGAGCTAGCAGGAATTTAGAGGTTTTCCTTAACACTTAGTCTCATTCTTTAAGTTAATCTTCTGCAATATCCTCACTCTGACAAGCAGATTCCCTTATACTTTTATCATGAAAACAAGAGTTGTTTCCACACTCTCACCCAGGACATACAACCCCCCTTACCCAACACTATCACATCTTACCTGGGGCAGAAAGAGACTGAGTATCTTTATATTTATCCTTTGCAACAGCCCAATCTACAGCCACTGTCCGCCCTGTCAAACAAAAAAGTGGCATTAGAAAGACTGCCCTCCTTTAACATCCCTATCTCCTATAAATGATCTCTAGTCATCAAAGATAATAACAGAACCAGTAGAGACAATACACTGTCAAATCAGAGAACGCTGGTCCTTTAATAAAGCACCCAGTAACTGCCTACATTTTTTAACCCTTAACCCTTCTATCAATAAACAAAAATTTTGCTTTCTACACAGCCACCACCCTGGAATAAGATGGAATAAAAAAAGAATTAGACTATCCTCTCCTGTTAGACTAGCAAGAAGCAAAACAGGCATTCTGGAATCACCTGCACCCTCCTCAGAAGATAGGACGTCTCTAAGCCAATCCCTTCTTTAGGCGCAATACTTAATACATCAGTATGTAGAGTAGCATCACAGTCAGCTTAATAGCTCATGGATGCTCAACAGTGACCACAGCCAAGAAGGAGGAACCTAGACACCAACCTGGATCCATCGGCAATTACCTCAGGGACATTTTTCATTAGGAAATTAAAAGGATACTCTCTAAATAAAGGAAAGAATATTGGCATGGGGTATTTTAAGTTTGACTCCAAGATCATGTGTTAGGAATATTTCACCAAAACAGCTTCTGTATTAGCAATAAAAACCTCAACAGTGAAAATGCCTTTTTGAAAATATAGAAAGTGGGTTACTCTGCTAATTCGTCACAACACCAGAAATATCTAGGTCAATGTTATAGAGAGAGAAAACTTACCTTTTATTTCTTTCATGTTCATGCTTTTGAGAGCTTTACCTGCTTCTAGGAGGTTTTTGAACTGAACAAAAGCAAAACCACGCATCTTTCCATCTATGTGCAAATGTACAAAGAAGTTAGAGGCAGCAGGGGGACACCAACAGAGCACTAAGAAAATTACAGCAACTTGGGCTGGCAAGAAGGCCCAAATTCTCAGAAGGAGGCCTTTTGCTGAGTATACTTTGACTTGGACTTGGAGAGAGTAATGCATTTTCTCAAACTGTAACTAGTCATATAAAATTAATTCTGCTCTACTTGAAAATACTATCAGGGGAAAAACACTACTATTAGGGGTTTTATCACTCATCAAGCACTATGCCAGATACTTCAAATAATTCATATTGTCCAAAGCTCACAAAAAGTATGACATGAACCTTGCATTTCTATTTGAAAAGGTACTTAGTTCAAGGGTAATATGAAAAAGACATGTTAAATTATCTTAATCCAATCCACAGCAATGGAAATTTTACTAGTACCTGGTTTCCTAGGGATATTTACTTCCAGGACAGCTCCAAATTGAGCAAATACTGTCTTCAAGTCAATTTCTGAACACTGAAACCAAAGTGAAGAAAGAAAAAGAGAAATATTACTATAGCAAATAACCATAAAACATCTCCTACTAGGTTTATTCATTAAGAAAAATTTGAATATTTTAACTCCTTTTCTTTTTTTTTTTTTTTTTAAAAAAAACAGGGTCTTGTCACTTTGTTGCACAGGCTAGAATACAGCAGCACAATCATTTTTCACAATAACCTCAAACTTCTGGGCTCAAGTGAATCTCCTGCCTGAGTCTCTCAAGTAGCTAGGGTAAAAGATATGTACACCCAGCTAATTTTAATTTTGGTAGAGATAGGATCTCACTATGTTGCCCAGATTGGTATCAAACTCCTGGTCTCAAGTGATCCTTCTGACTCCAGAAGTGCCAGAATTGTAGGTATGAGCCACTGTGCCCAGCCTACATCTGAGACCAGGACATCAAATGTTTCTGAATAGAAAACATCTTACTTTGTATCTATGAGGCAAAAAAGATAGACATCAGAGAAATTTTTCTTTCCTTCCCTTCTCAGTAGTAGTTTCTCTAAAAGGAAGGCATCTTCACATTTAGTGTCCTTAACTTAGATAGGCTCACTTTCCGAATTCAAAAGCACTAAGATTCATTCCCAAAAGGAATTAAGCCCAATGATACCATTTTAGTTAGGACTTCCATCAATGAGCACTCCTTGGCTCTAAGCCTTCAGAACATGCAGTATAAGTTTTTTTTGTTGTTGTTTGTTTGTTTTTTGAGACAGAGTCTCATTATGTCACCCTTGGTAGAGGCAGTGGTGTCACAGCTCACAGCAACATCAAACTCTTGGACTTAAGCGATTCTCTTGCCTCAGCTTTCCAAGTAGCTGGGACTACAGGCACCAGCCATAACACCTGGCTATATGCAGTATAAGTTTTTACTCTCACTTACCTTAAAGCTTAAGTTCCGAATAATTAATCTGGCTTTCTTATCTGCCACTTTAGCTTTTTTAGGCTTCAAGTCCTTCTTTGAGAACTCTGGATTTTCTACAAAGTAAAAAGCAATGCAATAAGTTTGTGCTCCCAAAAAAAAAAAAGTTTGTGCTCCAAACACCCAGTTCTAGGCCAGAACAGCACAGAAAAAAGCTACTAGTGACAGACAGCATTTACCACAGGGTAAAATAAGGCAATACCCAGGAACACTGGATTTTTCAGACTGAGATTGAAAAAAGGAACTGAAATGAATATCAAAATATACTAAATGATCCCCAAAAGAAATGCAGGAACCTTAAGTTTTAGCAGCTCCCACCCTGCCTCTTTCTCACTGTCACAGTGCTCCTAACCCCAAGGGAATATTTCCTTCAATTCCCAGAAACTCACCATTTTTCCCTTTTTCCTTTGCCTTGTCCCTCAGTTTTTTCTTGGCAACAGTCACATTGATCTTGCAGTCTTCAAAGGTGGTAATCTCCTTGAGGGCCCTCTGAACATCTTCCAGCATAGAAAAAGTGACATACCCAAAGCCTCTACATGCCTTACTCCCTGAAACAGTGCAAGTGGGGAATGAAAAGGACAGAGGATCATAAGCCAAAAGCACTAAACGAGTAAATCTGCAAAGCCTAAACTATTACTAGCAGATATACCAACAAGCCACCCTATTATCAGTTTGCAAAAAGTCTCATGAGGAAAAGAAACAAGAGTAACATCAGTGATCCCGTCCCCATTTTGCTCTGAAACTGTTAGGCTTCCTCCTCTTTAATTTGGTGTCTTTGCTGTCAGCACCTCTTCTTCCTCCATGTTGATGATCTCAATACTATGGAGGATCCATGACATACATTAGCTCCTCAAAGAAGAACTCAATCTCAAAAAAAAACAACTACTGCCAATCCAGATTGTGAAAAGAGAGAGAGAGAGAGAGAGGGAGAGAGAAAGAAAAAAAGAAACATCACCAGAGAAGGCAGGAAAGGTATGTGCTATATTTTGGATGTGTCCCCTAAATTTGGTATGATAGAAACTTAATCCTCAATGTGGCAGTACTGAAAGGTGGGGCCTCTAAGAAATAAGTGGATCATGATTAATTCATACATTGATGAGTTAATGAATGAACAGGTTACTGTTGAGAGTGAATAGGCGGCTTTATCATAAGGGGACAACAAACTTGAGTAAGCATGGAAGCTAAGCCCCCTTGAGGTCTTGAGTCCCCTCAAGATTCTGCCAGCATTCCCACCAGCAAGAAGGCTCTCACCAGATATGACCCCTCCACTTTGGACCTCTCAGCCTCTAAAACTGTAAGAAATAAATTTCTTTCCTTTATAAATTATTCGGTTTTAGGTATTCTGTTATAAGCAACATAAAATGGACTAAGACAGTACAATAGCATCAAAAATCAGAATATAATGCAGTTCCCTTCTCAGAATACATCAGCAATAAATGCCTGAAGTCCCGACAGAAGATCTCAAACAAAAAACACTGCTTCAGGAGCCTGTAGATGTTATTACCATTACTAATGTCTTAGCCAAAAATATCAAATTAAACCCTTCCAAAGCAGTTGGAATCTCTTATCTCATTTGTCTTCAGAATACCCAAGATGGGAAAAGCAAATATTATCCTGCCTTCTTTCCAAATGAATAACTTGAGATAGGGGAGAACAAGTGAATTGGTTATTGTCACACAGCGTTTTAGTGGCTGAATTAATTCCTCCTTATCAGCCCCATGTTCTTTCACAGGACTCCAAGAGAAGAATATAAGGACCAAGCAAATGAAAAATTAAAAATATCAACTATAAACTATCTTTGTCCTTTTTTATTTAATATTTTCTTTTCTTTCTTTCTTTTTTTTTTTAAGAGACAGAGTCTTACTTTGTCACCCTCGGTAGAGTGCTGTGCTGTCACAGCTCACAGCAACCTCCAGCTCTTGGGCTTAGGCCATTCTCTTGCCTTAGCCTCCCGAGTAGCTGGGACTACAGGCACCTGCCACAATGCCCAGCTATTTTTTATTGTTGTTGCAGTTTGGCCAGGGCTGGGTTTGAACTCGCCACCCTTGGTATATGGGGCTGGTGCCCTACTCACTGAGCATACAGGCACTGCCCTATTTAATATTTTCATACAGCAAAATTTTAAGTAACTTACTGGTTGAAAAAGGAAAAGGACAGACTAAGAAGTCTGCCTCCTACCTGAGGAAGAGAAACAGAGCTCATGTGCTCTGCTTCTCTTTTGACTACACTTGAATATGCTTCAGGGTACAAGCCTGGCAAGATGCTGATCCATATAAATTGGGTAAAGGAAAGCATACTGTGATGCGGAGACTGACTTATTTTCTCTTGGAACTCCTCACAAAAACCTACCCATTCACCTTCACAAAATAAGAGCAAAAAAACTCAAGGCCCTTCTCCTGATCAGTACAACCAAAACTGAAGCAGCAGTTGGCTCAGCACCTGTAGCTCAGCGGCTAGGCGCTAGCCACATACACCAAAGCTGGCAGGTTCAAACCCAGCCCTGGGCCTGCTAAACAACAAGTACAACCAAAAAATAGCCAGGCATTGTGGTGGAAGCCTGTAGTCCCAGCTAATTGGGAGGCTGAAGCAAGAGAATTGCGTAAGCCCAGGATTTTGAGGTTGTTGTGAGCTGTGATGCCACGGCACTCTACCAAGGGCGACATAGTGAGACTCTGTCTCAAAAAAAACCCCCAAAAACAAACGAACAAAAAAATGAAGCAGCTGAAATGTAAAGAAGTTCAGTGCCCAAATAAAAGGAGACACTCACAATAAATGCCAATTCACTTTATATGTCTGCAAAGCACTCTCATATACCTTTGGAATCCTTCATGACCCTGTGAAATTATTCGAATCTTAAAGATGTTAAGTGACATGCTATGACCATTGACAAAGACCTCACTCCATATACCCTCCTTCCAATTTCACTGAGTGCAGCACTCTTTTCAACACATCTCAGCTGTCTGAATAAGGAAAGTGCATAGTCTTTTTAAAAAGGGAACAGGAGATTGTTAAGAATATATATCAAGTACACAAGGCTTACGATAAGGTTATGTGTAGCCAATATTCTGAGGATTCAAAGGAGAATTCCCATTCAATGGCCTGTTTTCCCTGGAACAGAACCACCTAGCACTGTATAGCAGTGTTTCTCAAATTGTTTGGACAACTCACAGTAAGGAATGTGGCATCCCAGTACATGTATGTATTCTTTGAAACCAAAATAAAATTTTTACAAATGCTTATCCTTTACCATATGCAGATGTGCTCCTTCTGTACTATTTCATTTTTTAAAAACTCTAGTCATGGCAGTGCCTGTGGCTCAGTAAATAGGGCACCGGCCCCATATACCAAGGGTGGTGGGTTTAAACCGGGTGCTGCCCAAACTGCAACCAAAAATAGCCAGGTGTTGTGGCAAGCACCTGTAGTCCCAGCTACTTGGGAGGCTGAAGTAAGAGAATCGCCTAAGCCCAAGAGTTGGGAAGTTTCTATGAGCTGTGACATCATGGCACTCTATTGAGGGTGACAAAGTGAGACTCTGTCTCAAAAAAAACAAAAAAACAAAAAAACAAAAACTCTAGTCATGACCCACTCAAGAGTTTAAGAAACATTATTGTACAACACCCTCATTCTCTCATTCATCTTCTTCTATACTTAAAATGACAAATTACAGGCAGGTACCATGGCTTGTTTAGCAACCAAAGCTACTCTGACAATCCTACGTATAACTTCGGTTACTAATAAAATAGAAGCTAAGGATGGGGTGATATTAACAGGGTAGTCTGCCTACTCACATATTCAGACACCATGACAGGGAAGGGGTAGAGGGAGTCCATGAGATGCCACTCCCACTAAAGGCAGAGAAAAGAGGGAGCATGGTAACTTGGAAGAGAGCAAAATGTTTGGGGTAATATCAAGTACCTCAGGTGCCCCTCAACAGTCCAGGTAAGAGGAAGAAATGCTTCTACAATTAAAATCCTTATGTCCCTACTTCAGAGTAACATCATGAGCATTAAACAGAATGTGAAGTATACAGGATTTTCCACAAAGTCAGTAAATCTTTCCAGTAACTCAAGACAAAAGTCAAATCTGACTCCTCTTTTTCTCATACTTCACACCTGACCCATCAGCAAATCCTCTCAGCTCTACCTTCAAAAATGTCCACACCTTTTCCCACCTCCTCTGCTACCATCCTAGTCTAACATCATTGTCTTTCACCTGGATTATTGTAAGAGACTACTAACTGGTCTGTTTTCATCGTATTCACCAGCAGTCTATTCAGAGAACAGCAGCCAGAGAATCTGGCTTTAAGAATCTTTCTAAATGTAAGCTAGATCGTACTTACTTGCTCTCTGCTTAAAACCAGTGGCTTCCTAGCTCAGGGTAAAAGGCAATGTCCTTGCAACAGCCTATAAGGACTTATATGATATGGTACTCTAGATTTCGTCTCCTAACTCTTCCCTTCATCACTTCACTCCAGTCACCCTGGTCTCCTTGCTGCTCCTCCAGTATACCAGGCACATTCCTGCTTCAGTTTCTTTGAGCCTGCTGCTTCCTCTGCCCAACTGCTCTTTCCCCAAGAGGCATGTAGTTCAATCTAGATCTTCCCTAGTTACCCTGTTTTTATTGCCATTTCTTACCTCCTCTTCCTCTATGTACATATACACATATACTTCCTAACTCCCTTCTCTATTGTTCTCCTTACCATTTATCATCATTATCAATCACTATATACGTGGCTCATTTGTTTATTGGCTGTCTTCTCCACCCTGAAGACATAAAAGCAATGATTGCTTGGTTTGGTGTTGTGGACTGCTGTATCTTCAGGACCTTCAACAGTGCCTACCACATAGCAGGCATTCAATAAGTATTTGCTGAATAAATAAATTGACAAATGAATAGTATACCGGCTAAGAACTCCAGGTGTGATGATTAAAATCTGTATTAGTTAACGCTGTACAAACCTAAAGTTACTAAATTTCCCCAAGTCCCAGATTCCTGTTGGTAAAGACTAAGGCTCTCCACCCACTAAGACTTTTGAGGAAATTTAACAAGATAGCCCGTGTCAAACTCAATACAGGGCCTAGCAATTAGGCAACTCACAATAAGCGTTACTGATACTTTTTAAGTAAGCTATTTTCATTACTGCCAAGTAAGACTGCATATGAGAGCATACATAATAATAGAAAGTGTCGTAGAAAGGCCAGAAAATGCTTTGCTTTTCATAAATTGACCTCTATAGACCCACAGAAAAGAAACTCAACTCCCTGTTCCTTCTCTTAGAGGAGGATAAAGAGTTATTTGGCTTCCTGAAGTTTGGGAAGGTGTCGTAGTCCGATGCCGCTCCCAACAAACCCCAGCCCCATCCTCGGCCGCCCCGCCCCCTACCTTTCTCAGTCACCACGAAGCACTGCTTCACCGGCCCCACCTGACTGAACAGCTGCTCTAGCTGCTCACTGCGGGCGGAGGAGGGGAGACCACCCACAAACAGGGTCAAGCCGGCCATGCGAGCGAGGGTGCGAGCTAAGCGGGTCGATGGAAGGGAGCCGAAAAACTGCTTTAGCAGGACCACCACGCCGAGTTACAACCCAATTGACGGGAGATTCCGGAAGTGCTCGTTGCTTAAAAGAGTCCGGAGGAAAACATGGAGGAAAGAGAGAAAAAGGTTCCGGAATGAAAAAAATAATGACGTCCCAGAGACGGAGCTTTTAAGCGGCGCTCCCGCCTTTTGAGGGAAACTTGGCATCAACAATTTCTACCTGCCTAAAAACATCTCGCCTCCAGGAGATCGACCCCAAATTCACTAGGATAAGCAGGAGAAGTCGTTTTTGCCCCCGTCCTAACCCAAGTTGCTGAATAAATAACTTCTGAAGGGTTCCCAGATTTGTGGAACCCAGCCAGTGCACAGAGACTTACATCACTTGGGAGATTATCATGGTCTCAGAGAATGTAAGACAGCTGTCACTTCGGCCTCAGAAACAAATTGTAATTACTAAAGTACACACAGACACAGATTGTGCACAATTATTCTACATACGTATATATATGTTAGATTCATAAGCTGAATTTTATTTATATATATATATTTTTATTAAATCATAGCGGTACATTAATGCATTTATGGGGTATAATGTGCTGATTTGGCATACAATGTAGAAAGCTTACATCAACTGGTTAATATAACCATCACCTCACTTACTTATTTCTTGTGGTCAGACATTTATACTCTAAACAGTTTTGAGATGTACCATTGCGGCTTGGTGCCCGTAGCACAGTGGTTATGGTGCCAACCACATACACCGAGGGTGGTGGGTTCCAACTCGGCCTGGGCCAGCCAAGCAACTGCAACAACAACAACAACAAAAAAATAGCCAGGAGTTGTGGTGGGCGCCTATAGTCCCAGCTAGTTAGGAGGCAAGTGAATCACTTTAGCCCAAGAGTTTGAGGTTGCTGTGAGCTGTGAGGCTACGCACTCTACCGAGGGTGACATAATGAGATCTGTCTGTCTCAAAAAAAAAAAAAAAAAAAGAAAGAATAGAAAAGAAAACGAGAAAAAAATGAACTGTACCATTGCATTGTGCACATTAGGGGAGGTCCCACCAAATACCTCCCTCCTCCCAACCTCCCCTTCCCCTCCCTTTCGCCTCCTCTTCCCTTCTTCTTTCTGGACTATAGTCCTGTGTAATCATTCATATGAATGTGTAGGTGATTATATATTGGTATCACCTACACATTCACTATATAGTATATATACATATATATACCAATGTATAATCACCTACACATGGTGTGTGTGTGTGGGTGTATATATATATATTAGTATTGAGTACATTGGTCTTTCAATATATATTTACTGAGCTCCTACTATGTGTCAGGAATTAGGGATAAACTTAATGAGCTTAAAATTAGCTGGATATAACGTAGACTCAGCTACTCTGAGGGCTAAGGTAGGAGGATCACTTGAGTCCAGACATTCAAGATTGTGATGTGCTATGATCATGCTGCTGCTCTCCAGCCTGGGAGGCAAATTTAGGCTTTATCTATAAATAAATAAGTAAATAAAACACCAAAATCTTTTTGGTGAGCTACCAAAAGACAGGTTTCTTGCCCTCATAAAGAATATAGTGTACTAGGGAAGACAGACAATTCAAAAAAATCTTACAAATAGGGCCAGGTGCACTGGCACAGGACTGTAATCTTAGAAATTTGGAAGTCTGAGGCAGGAAGATCACTGGAGCCCAGGAGTTTGATCATGCCACTGCTTTCCAGTCTGTGTGACAGAACAAGACTTCATATAAAAAAAAAAAAATCAGCTGGGCTTGGTGGCTCACACCTATAATCCTTCCACTCTGGAAGCCTGAGGCGGGTGGATTGCTTGAGCTCAGGACTTTGAACCCAGCCTGAGCAAGAGCTAGACCCCATCTCTAAAAAAAATAGCTGAGCAGGGCGGCACCTGTGGCTCAAAGGAGTAGGGCGTTTACCCCATATGCTGGAAGTGGTGGGTTCAAACCCAGCCCCGGCCAAAAACTGGGAAAAAAAAATAGCTGGGCATTATGGCGGGCACCTGTAGTTCCAGCTACTTGGGAGGCTGAGGCAAGATGATTGCTTGAGCCCAGGAGTGTGAGATTACTGTGACCTATGACGTCACAGCACTCTACCCAGGGTGACAAAGTAAAACTCTGTCTCCAAAAAAAAAAAATTCTTACAAATAAATCATACCAGGCACACCTCAAAACCACATCAGAATACACAAAGCAAATGTAACGTCCAGCTTGTACACAGAAGATCGTTCCTTAGATAAGTTGACCAGACAGGCCTGAGGCTGAGAGGTCTCACTTGGCCAACTGTAGATCCAGGTAGTCCTGGATTCTGGAACACAGAGAGTTTGCCATTCCACCAGGCTCAAGAATGGGCCTATGTGCAAGATAGCTGCATCATGCAGAATGTCCAGCTAAAATAAATATTCAAGACATGTTTAAAGCATCACTTTAAAATAGTAGTGACATCATATTAGGCAGAACACTCAAAACGTATAAAAGGTTCAAAGTAAGTTGCACATTTTCCTTAAGCCCTACCCATTGTCAATGCATTTCAGAAGGATGGATGACTGGTTGGTAGTGATGGGATTGGGGGGGCACTAAACATTGGATTTATAAAGCTCTCACTCTAAGGAAGTAACATATACCTAATGGATAACATCATTTAGGCCAGGCATGGTAGCTCATGCCTGTAATCCTAGCACTCTGGGAGGCTGAGGTGGGAAGATTCAACCTCAGGGAAGTTCAACACCAGCCTGAGCAAGAGCAAGACCCCATTTCTACTAAGAATAGAAAGATTAGCCAGGTGTCGTGGTGGGGGACCTACAGTCCCAGCTCCTCGAGAAGCTGAGGTAGAAGACTCTCTTGAGCCCAGGAGTTTGAGGTTACTGTGCACTTGACTGATGCCATGGCACTCTAGGTTGGGCAACAGAGTGAGACTCTGTCTCAAAAAAAAAAAAAAATAACATCAATTATTTTTTAAAAAACTAATTCAGGGGCAGTGCCTGTGGCTCAAAGGAGTAGGGTGCTAGCACCATATACCAGAGGTGGTGGGTTCAAAC